GTTTGTATGTGCCTATGGTCTCCATAACTATAGTATGCAAGTTCCTTGCAGATGTTCATGAAATTATATGCGACACCCTCTGATACTGATGCTAGAGTACTATGACTCCCACTTTATGCAGAGGGAATCGATGTGAAAAGATGTTAATTAATTTGAACAAGACTGCATAGGCAATCTGTGACAAAGCCTGTACATTTAATTATCATTAGTTAAATTTTGTGTTTAAAAGAGCTGTAGAGGATAATATCTTAAATTTCACATGATTCTGATTTCATGTTAAACTTCTACATTTTCTTGTTCTGTTCATCCTTTACTTCCTGTTGAAGAACAACAGAGTCCAATCTGGAATTTAAATCACATGTGATTACAGAGCTAAACCGCCCTAATAGTTTTCCTAGATAAGAAGTAAGTTCTTCATTCCTATTGTTCAGATGTCTTTCAAATGGTATCTAACACATACCAGATGTCTGCAGCTACTGGAGTGTCATGGAGCTGCAGAAAATCACCATGCCCTTCCTTTCTTCTTGTATTTCAGTAGGTCTGTGCAGTCTGTGGTGAAAAGACAAAACTTCCAGTCTGAGTTTTCGTCCTAAATCCAAGTTTTGATGATCAATGATAGGATGCTAAAAATAAACCTGAATGTCTCTGTGATTCTGAAATTGAGTTTCTGAAAAAGCATTGTACTTGTGGTAAGAGGTAAAATGTGAAGTTCCAGAGAAATGAGCTGTGAATTGCAGCTGCAATGGAAATTGATCCTGTCTGTCAGTCTCTGCTCCATATTCTCAGGAAAACAGAGCAGAGCAGAGAAGGAGCCAAGATCACCGATTAAATGGGATGCTAAAGTGCCAGGGGCTAGAACCGGGCTTGCTGGTCCCTCAGGTCAGAGCTGCAACTGTCAGACTTCACTGCGTGATACCCTGCTGAAGGTGGCAGAAGGAGAGCAGTATGAAAAATGCTGCAGGCGCCAGCAGGGGAATTAGTAAGAGCTACCTGGCTAAGCTTCAGGCATGACAGGCAGTGCACTCCTTTGGGAGGAAAACCTCTTCTCATGTGAATGGGCAGGCCTTATTTTCCCCATTCGCCTCATGATTTGTACCAGTGAGGCATAAGAAAATAGCTGGAATACTGAGGAACAACAGAGGCTCAGTTCGTCTAGAGAACAGCAGAGTGAATGGAGAGGTCTGGCCATATAACCTCTCTGCGGGTGGGCCTCGACCGAGGAAGGCAAAAGCAAAAGGTCAGCAAATAGCTGTTGTGGTATGAGGTGTCTATGTTGCATGTAATATAATCAGTATGTCATATTAATCTCCTTATTCATCTTCTACTCTAATAAAATGTGATTTCAGTTGTGACTAGCACTGTGAAATGACACTTCTTTATGTAGCTATCCCTTTTCTTACCTGATGCAAGGTCACAACAGCAGACCATTGCTGGGATGACAACTTTCAAGTCCTACATGAATAGTTAGTGCAAGTCTCATGAGCACAGCAGTAGCATCTCTATAGAATGCTTACTTTTTCACTTAAAGTTGGGAATTTACCATGGGAAAGTGATAAAAAGATCCTGTAGAAAATAAAATCAACTAAATGAAGTCATCATGCTGTGGTAATTAATTCAGCTTTCCCTTTTAAACCACAGTCATTAGCTGTAATTCTTTTTGTGTTGCTTAACAGTTTTCTTTCCCCAAGTATCCTACGTCCTTCATGATGAAGAGGATCTACTTTCTAGTGTATTGGAAGCGATGTACTATGCTCTCAGAACCATATCACATTAAATATTTCCTTTGGGGTACACAACAATACCTCCAGAGAAGCTCAGCGCTAACTTGATCAAATGGAATCTTCTTTATCTATCTTTTGTTGCAATAACTGTTATTTTTCATGGCTTTTTTGAGCTACATGTTTTTTTAATCTCAAAATTCCATTGTTACCTTAGCCTTTTTTTCTGGTTGAAAGTAGACATGTTTCACTTCATCTCTTTTCTGCTTACTGTATGAATTAACTGAATTTAACCAAAAATTGTCATGTACTTGAAGCGTATGGATCTGTTATGACTGAGAACTCAACTATATAGAGCAGATGAGAACTGATATCCTCAGGTCTGTAATGAAGTCATGTCTGATAAATGAAAGTAGTGTGGTATTGGAATGAAAAATATAATAAAGCAAATAAAGTAGTGGTAGTCTAGGAATTAGGTTTATTTAATGAAAGAAACAATAAAGCATCATCTATTCCACTAACTATGTCCATTTTGAGAATTTAAGAGTGAGAGGACACAAAGTGGGTAAATTCTTTGGAGTACAGGCCTGTACCTTCAGAGGCTCTTTCGTGGACAAACCTCTTTGGAATATTCAACCTCACTTTCTCATTGGACATCCCCCATAAACCAGCAGTTATCCTACCTGATGTGTCATGTAAGATCTTGCTTTATTTTTGCTTAAATGTCTTTCTCTTCTGTGTCCCGGATTTTTTCAATATCCTACCTTTCCCTCTCTTTCCACCAAGTGCAGTCATTGACTGGTTGACACATTGACTGGTTTACACACTAGGCTTACCCCACGAAGGGATCGTTAGGGCCCTATCAGTTGCATAATCTCTGAATGAATGGTAAGAAAAAGAGATATGAGCTATGTACCTATCTGATACTGTAGATTACAGAGTCAAGTCAGGAACCAAAGCAACCAGGGCATTTGCCTTTTCTGATGAGCTTTATCCTGTGAATATCAACAAAAGCTTGTATTGTCTCCATCTTTTACAATCTAATCCCCTTTTTCTCTTGTCTGTTTTGTTAGAAGTGAAAATGTATGTGTCATTCTCATAGCAATGACTTCAAGATTTAACTAGAGGGCTAACTTGTACTTTTTACTAAGATAACGTGACATAAGAATATCTTCCCCTTGGGCAGAAATCGTGTACAGATTTTGATCCAGTTTTTTTTGTACAGCCACTTGATTTCAGTTTTAAAATGCTACGAATTAGTTTTATGTCTCTAACAAAATGATTTCTCAGCTCCCCTGTGAATTATCTAATGTGCCTACTATGGAACTAAGCAGACTGTTGCATATTCTTGCAGCTAGGAGCTTTGTTCAACTGCTTAATGTTGTATGTCAGGGTCACCTCAATTCTGTTGATTTTCTAGTCCTATTTAGCCCATTCAGATAGCATTACATTTACACAATACCCATCAAATGTCCTTTGCTATTCATAGTCTCACCTAAATGAAGAAATGCTCAAAAGCTGATACTAAACAACAAAACCCCCCCCAAACCCCCTCCCTTTTCATGCAATTTATGTCTGAACTATGCAGAAGTAAATCCTTAAGGAAGACATGAAACTCTTAGGACTTGCCAGTCTTTGAGGTTTGCTTGTCATTAATCTTAATTGTTATAGCAATAAAAAGTGTCCCAAACACCAGGATTCTTAGCTGGGGTATCTGAGTTTGGAAACAAGTAAATGGCTCTGTAGTGACTTATCCTTGGTCAGGACATTTTTACCAGTCAGTTTAGTCACTAGAAAGGAGACCACGATTACATCTGTTACTGAATTTTTTTTTGCTTTGCCATTTTGTTACCAATTGGCAAATATTCTATATTGGTGATCAAGACCGTTGGGTAGTGGCAATTAATAAAAAAAAAAAAAAAAAAAAAAAAAAAAAGGAGCTGGAGGATTTGAAAGAGGAAAAAAAATACCCTGCTTTGTAGATGTTAGAGAGAACAAGCAATTTCTTAACACCTTTTTTTCAAGGAGTTAAGATGAATAACATCTTTGAACAAATATTTCAAGCATGCAGGGATTTTATTAAAAAGTAAAAAGATGAAATCCTGTGTAAATTGTTTAGAACATTCCTAGTGAAGACATGTTGATTAATAAACATTAAAAGAAGGAAGATGCATATTAATTTGTTTACGTATAAGAGGCTTCTAGCTCATTAAAAGTCATCTAAGCGTTTGACTAGTGAAGCAGTGGATAAAACCAGACATTATCTTTAATCTTGTTGATGGCTCTAATATGAAAAAACCCAGATTATTGTGGGGTGAAAATGGGGGAGGGGTGTGAACTTTATTTTTGCTGTAATATGGTGGAAATTTGGATTCACCTTTCTATCTCAATTGCAGGGATCAGTAGGACTGAAGAAAACTTAACTTCATCAACCACAATCTGTGGTTCTTGCATATAGATAGCCATAAGTTCTTGGGTATGATTTTGTTAGATGTGATTTATGGCTGGTTATCAGCTGGGAGATCTCGAGGAAAGCTCAGATGCAGTAAGATATCGGCTGATGTGCCTCCTGTTACTTCTTTCGATTCTTTGCTAAACGACTACTACAAACTGAGATATTTGCACTGTTTATTCTAGATGTGGTAAAAAAAAAAAAAAAGCTATTAACAACTAATGTTTATGGGAAAAGAACCCTATGGACTATTTTAAAGGAATTGGAATATTAATGTCTTGGCCAAATAGAGATTGAGTAATTGCGTTCAGTCTAACTTAAAAACAAATGAGTACAAAATAGCTGAAGAACCACGTAACACTTTTCCTTTGTATAAACAGTCCAGGGAGAAAATCACCATGTATTTGCAAGTTTTCCTTAAAATTACCTTTTCTTTCTAGATACTTGTTTTGTGAAGGTTTTTGCTCTAAATGTGTTAACACAAATTAATTTGTAAAAAAAATTGGCCATATTTATTTTTTGCAAGCAACAGATAGGTAAAAAAGTAAGCGTTATTTAAACCATATCATGCAGTTTGAATTTAAGCATAAAAACTTTCTGGTATTTTGTTTGCTCTTCATTTTTCATAAAAGACACTTCTCTCTCCTTTTCTTACCGTTTTTTTCCCCAATTTTTCAGAGATCGATACTTTTATTGTCATTTTCACTAAAAGGAATGCATTTCTGTTTCTGCTTATATGTCGTATTTATAAAACTGTATAACTTCTTATTACTCATGTTAGTTACTATAATATGAATAATCATACCAGAACTACGTTCGTAATTTTGCAGATCCAATGCGTGGGCCACGAAAACTAGAAGTTGTGGAGATCAAATCTAGACAAATCACTATTTGCTGGGAACCATTTGGATATAATGTCACACGTTGCCATCGATACAACCTCACAGTCCATTACCGTTACCAGGCTGGAGGACAAGAGCAAGTGAGAGAAGAAGTAAGCTGGGATACAGAAAGTTCACATCCCCAGCACACAATTACTAATCTATCACCATACACAAATGTCAGCATCAAATTAGTACTAATGAATCCCGAAGGACGAAAAGAAAGCCAAGAACTTCTAGTACAAACTGATGAAGATGGTGAGTTTTTGTATTTACATATATATACGCATTGTATACCTGTAGTCAATACACTTTTCTATGTAATTACATATTCTACTTTCACTAAAATCTGTAACAGATTTTCCACCAACTTCAGCAATTTTAAGGCAGTAAAGGGTCCATAAAAGTGTTATAATGATCTTTTACATAACCTATAACATCACACATCATTAATCATTTCTTCATTAAACTCATAACTTGTGCTTGAACTGTGTTCTGCCTCTTAAAAATTCCAGTATCAATTTGAAGAAATTTCAAGTGATTGTCCCCAGTATCATCATGTAAGCTTTTCTATTGAGTGATATGCTCAACATTTAATATTTGTTCTTGATTTGCAGTTTCAATTTCTCTAGCTTTAGCTTTCCAACCATTGGATGCTTAGTTGCTTATTCAGACAATATATTCCATATACAGACATTCAAATATATAGATACTCCCTTCCTTTTATTAATTTTCAGCTAACGTGGGGTTTTCAGATCTCTTATTTTGAGCAATAATGCAATTTGTGAGTGTCTTTTTTGAAGCGTGGACAGCAGAATTTGCTACTGTGTCTCTGTAATGCTGTAGTAATACTGCATGAAAAGGTTATACCATCCTGCTAAGAAGTCCTCTGTAATATTATTGTGATTATACATGCAGGGAGTTTACTGGAGCTCTGTTAGCTATTATACCAAAATAAGACTCCCTTGTTGCATTGGTCATGCACCAGGAATGTTTCGCCTTTCGAGAACACACTGATAGTGAGGTATGGCCCCTTAGTGCCCTCTACAAGTGTACCTTAGGGGGTTTGACCTTGCTTTTACCCATTTTAAAATGCATACTCTTCAAAGAAACCTTATCAAATGACTGGCATTGCTTTATATAACAAACCTGTCCTCCTCCCATTTTTATCATCTGCAATCTGAACAAGAATGGCTTTCTGTTTTCTTCCAGGTCAGCAATAGATTTACTGCAAACATGTTAGAAATATTTCTAGAAATTACTTCAGCAGTGATGAGCTCATCTTATAATAAATACTTGAAGTCTGTCATTTAAACCATTAAATAATTTAATATATGCTGTGTTGGTTTTGTGTAGTACTAATTTCTAATCAAAATATATGAGGGAATAAATTAAACAATTTAGGAATGTATAGTTGCTACTGCAACAGATTTGACAGAGCATAGCTAACAAAAAAGATGTTTAATTAGAATTAATTTTGCTGTCATCCTCTAATTTTTATTCGGTTCAATTATAGGATGACAAAGCTAAAGACCTTATTGTTATCTGGGCTGTTTATGTATTATCTCTAAGATTTTGTGTAATATTTTCTTATTTCTGGCCCTCTGGAACTTTATATTATTCCAAGACCTATTAAAAACCAGCATCAGTGGTTGAGAGAATACCTTGAACAAAAATTATAACTTTTTAAAGTACCATACATTTTCAGTAAGGTACATCAATCCGGATGTAACACAACAGAGTATACTGACCCAAATAATCATCATAATTTTTTGAATCACACAATCATGTAGGTTACAAGGGACCTCCAGAGCTCATGTAGTCCAACCTTTTGCTTGGAGCAGATGAAGTGGGAGGAGATTGCTCAAGCTCTTGTACAGTTGAGTTTGGATTATCTCCAAAGACGGATATCCCACAACCTCTCTAGGTAGCCTCTGCCAGTGTTTAACCTTCCTCAGAGTTTATGGCCTTCAGATAATTTTAGAGGGTTACCACAGTGTTTTGCTCTACTTCCAACTTATTTACACTATATTTAATTCCTCTCCCTTTACATGTATAGAATTAACCCCATGATTCCAAATGAGTTTTGCCAGTTGTCTCCTCCTTGGAAGCAAGGGTTTAGTGCCCAGACTTAAGGTTGCTGTAAAGGCATAATCTTACTGGTCCATACAGGACTGGTAAGACAGTTCAGAAACCGTCACCTATGTCCTTGGAGCTTCCCCTTGGTAGAACAAGGGACTCTGCAGAGGGCTATGGAGTGGTGATTATGAAGTCTCAAACCATGTAAACACCAACAGCATGGAGGAGGGGGATAGTGCTCTACCAGACCTAGCAGTAGGAAGGAGTCACCAGCTGTCTTGCAGATCTTCCTATTCTTTAACCATTTGGATAAATCTCAATAAGGGATCTGAGAAGTTATTTCAACCACTGCAGCAAGTAGTTCCTACCTTCTTTCTCTAGGATGTGGAAAATGTATCTTCTTGTTAGATTTTCACAGGCAGTTTGTGAAAAACTGCTAACCCATCAATGCCTGTTCTCTCACAACAGTCCTGTGTGCATTTTTCAGAATTTTCACATTCCATTGCAAGTGTTGTTACAAAAATAAAATCTCAGATACATGTTCATGTGCTGTTTACACATCTCCTTCTCTGAAAACTGCATTGAGGTTGGCTCGGGGATAATGTAATTGTTGCAGAACAACCAGGAAACAGAAGTAGGTACCTTGACATATCTTTTATCAGAACCTTGTGACATCCCTGACTCTTCAGAGGTCATTCTTTTAAATTAAGACACTTTAAGAAAAATGAATAATGACAAATTTTCAATTTGGCTGGTTCACAATTTGCTTATGTTCATCCTGTTGTAGGTCTTCAGGCCTAATGTCAGTGAGCATCACTGTTCTCTGCAACATGTGGCTCGTCTTTCCAAGCTAACCATTCTATTTCGTTCTGTTGAAATTACACCTTGTTACTTCAATGTTTGTCCATTTTCATATATGAATGTTCAATATGTTTTTCACTATGGGACAGTAACACTATTGATAAGCGGATATCACAAGTTGATTTTATTTACAAGAATTTATATCTGAGATATCACCTAATTCCTTATAAAAAGCTGAATTGTCCTTTTCTGTCATCAGTAGTGTTTTACTGGAAAAGTGTGATGTTCACTAACTCCTCCTTATATTGAAGGTGACACATATGTTTCCTTAATGGCACTATCATGTTAAATAAGTCATTCTCCTCCTGAGCTACACTTGGTCTTTGTTTCAGTCTTGGAGAAATAATAATGGGTGCTATTTTCTAAGAGTTTATATGCAATTGAGATGGTTTACTCAGAGAGAAGAGGAGGTTATATATGGTTATATATGATCTGTTTAGCAGTTCACCAAATGCTGCAGAATACGTACTATATCTCAACAAGAGATTGAGACATGATGGATGGATGGGTTTTATGCCACAGCAGTGCAAGTATTAAGCAGAGTATTTCCTTCTGAAGGTTTTCTCAAAACAGTATTTTTTCCTTTTCTTACCCATTAGTCCCAAGTGCTGTCCCACTTGAATCCATTCAAGGGAGTACCTTTGAAGAGAAGATTTTTCTTCAGTGGAGAGAACCAGCACAAACATATGGTGTCATTACTTTGTATGAGGTACCTAGCTTTTTTCCATGTTTTAATTTTTATGTATAGTTTTGATTTTCAAAAGTGCATAATTAGTAAGAAAATTAAAATATTTTTTCCAGTTTCTGTAAAATGAATATTCTTTTTGAAGATAATAGCACTTACAAAGTAATAAAATCAAATATATAATGTAGAAGTGAATTACTGCAGGACCCAAAATGTCCCTGGACTATCAGCTTTAAGAAAACTGCTATTTTTAGAACAATGTGATGTAGCATTTTATCTAGTATTGTGGATCAAATATTTAAAAGATTGAAAGACAGATCTTAGTGAATTTTTTAAAAAATAGGAGACATAACATAGTCGTGACAGTCAACATCACATTTAGATAAGACTCATTATAGGAAGCCTATTGTAATAGAAACAAGCAGACATAATTAAAAAAAAATCTAGCATTTTTAAAATGCAAATTCAACAAAATTATATGTTGTTAGATGTCTAAAAATCACTGCTTTTCCTCATGTGGAACCTCTGCCTGAATACGTTTTAGAAAAATTGACAAAAGACTGCACAGATTAAGCTGTCAGACAGTAATCACTGCTAAGCTTCTTACCTGACCTTACTACAAAATTGGTATTGAAATGCTTTGTTTAAAAAGAAAAAAAACCCCAACACCTAAATGAGATGTGGTGTGAAAGAAAAGTTAAATTGAATGGTAACCTATTGATACTGTTTTGAAAACTATTTTATTGTGAGAGGGTAAAACGTTATGAAAAAGTATGGACTGATTTTTTATAAAGCTAACTACTTTCCAGCTCATTCAACAGTTGGCTATCTTCAGGGATCAGAATGTTTTAGTTTATATGTTAATGTTTTTACTGATGTTGGGCTTTATGTACATAGAAACACACAGTGCTGAATCATCTTGCTGCTTATGAACATGCATGCATGTCTAGTTACATTGCAGAGGAGTACATGCACTGTATACATGCAATTCATTCTTAAATATATATTCATACATAACTTCATCAGCTGTAATGGGAGTTGTGCAGGTGTATTCCAAGGTGGAAAACAATCTCTTGGCCAGACTTTCTAAGGTAGCCAGGCCTGTGCAAGTGTCTGAACATCAAAAGGACCTAGCATTCCAACAGTGAGGAGAATATTGAAAATACTCATATCTCCTTATACAGTTTATCTACTATGCCTCAAAGCAGAGACGGAGGGAGAAGGGCAATCAGTTAAATCAGAAACTTGATTTAATTAGTGTTTAAGTAAAAGATACCAACAAACTGATGCAACCAAACTGTCCCTTGTTCTAAAGACGCCAACTCAGTCCAGTCAGGTGGTTGGACATGAACAGACACCTAGTTGCTGAAGACTTGTTTGTCAATACTTTTTCTCCCCTGATGTTTGCTTATAAGCCTGAAATGTATCACAAAGTTTTTATAAATGTGACTGGCAAACTACTTGGAGGCTAAGAAATATACACAGTGAATCAGAGACATATTACCTATTAAACATATGCTTCAGTTGAAATATGAAAGTACACTTCAGATATATTTTAGCTAACTGAAGTAGCTCACAGGATAAGATCCAGAAAAGATAGATGAAACTTAGGTACCTGTGTTCTATAGGTTGATTTAGACTACCCATGATGTCTCAGTAGGCACCTCTCTGGCTGATCTTTGTGCTGCTAAGGTAATGCATCCAGCACAGCTCCAGATCACCCAGGCTTGAGAAAAGTAAGATGTCTAGCTCCTCCCTGCACCTTGTTGCAAGCCAAAGCTTAGACAAAAAGGCATCTAAGCCTTGGCTGTGTGTACATCAACAATCCTGGTCTAAAAAGCATTGCCATAGAATCTGCTCTCATACCAACATATGGCATATTTGGTATGTTCGTGAAAACTATAGTGCTCATGGCATTCACCTTGCAGAGAATGGCCTAGCTGATGAGCACTAACCTAGTAAGGAGGAGGCCTGGGTAGGGGACATTTCAGCCTGAGGGATTCCCCAGTTCATGATAATTTTGCCTGCAGGGAAGTGACTCAGGCACAGAGCCGCAGCAAGGGGAGAACGCCCTTCCAGTTCACTTGTCACTCGCCACTGGGTTGTATACAACCAGAGGTGAAAGAATTGTAGTGCCAGGAGGAAAGCAAATACAAGAGTGCTGGGTACTTTAGTCTAGAGTTGAAGACATGCAGCTTGGGTGAGGCAAAACTGCAAGTATATAAGCCCAAGTCAGACTTAGGAGCAAGGTTGCTCTTTCCAGGGCAAGCTCATTAGCTGGTAACTGTTTTTTATAGGGGCAGCCTTAAGACTACAGCCGCAGACACTTTCTTTCAGAAGGAGGTCCCAGGGTCTTGTTCCCAGCAGATAGATGAACTTAATGTGCAGTCCTGAGTCTGCATCCCTGCTCCCAGAGAGAAACCTCAATCATCTCACTTCTGTGTCTAGCATTTCTTACTCTGAGTACTTAACTTCCTGTGTTGTTAAAAACCTCATAACTTGTTTTCTGGGGCCAGACATTTGTTTATAGTGCCTGAAGGAGACAGTCTTTTAATGTATGTGGTGGGAAAAATTGTGCGTCGAAGTATCCAGTATTAAAGCCTTCATTGCTATTGTGAAATTAAGTGCAAATCCAATTATTTTACCAATATTTAAATGAAAAAAGTCTTTAGATGAAAAAATGACATAATGACAAATTGTACCATTTTGCTCCTCTATCACCAGTACAGGTCCATAGTTGTAGGAATAAAGGGATTAGTCCTTTGGACAAAGTTTCATCTAAATTTGATAAAAATACCCAACATCCAGAAAGAAAATGACCCTTATGCCCTTTTTTTTTTTATCACTGCAAAGCCGAACTGGCATTAGCAATGGTGGACATAAGAAAATAGGGTGGTTTGTTTTTGTTTTTTTTTTAAAAAAGTGGGAACAGTCTTACAGATGGGAATAAAATACAGAAACAGTGCAAGTTGATTTTAACCAGGCAAAAAAACCTTTTTTTCATGTGTTCTGCATGATCCATGGAAGAACTTAGTTCATTACAGAACGTCAGCCACTTAGCTATCTAATAACTAAACACTGCAAAAAATTTCTAAGAATCTAACATGAGATTTTTGGAAAATCCAGTTAAGAATCATAGAAATATAAAAACCAGAGTTACAGAGAGCTGCAAGAGGTCTTTTAGTTCACATATCTGCTGCAGAACAGGATCAGCTGTATATAAAATATATTTGCGATATAATTGTCTAACCTGTCTTTTAAAATCTCCAAAGAAGGTTATGACCCACTCTCCCACAAGAAGATATAACAACACTTAGCATCAGAGAGGCAGAGTCTTTTGGGCAATGTGTAACCTTAATTTCTTTACTGATAACAGTTCAGATATTTGGTAATTTTTTTCTGTTATAATTAGGAGGGTTAGTTGAGAGTTTTTTAAGGCACTTTTCAGTTCAATTTATGGATGAAGAGTTGTAGAGGATCTGCCTATATCTACTGAAATAATGTCGAGGTTTATCTAGATGTTATCAAAGTTTTTATTACTAATTTTCAGCACTTTATTGATGTTATATTAGATGGGTCATATAAAAATCAATTTTCATTAAGTCAGAGGTTTAAGGAAATTACAAGTGTTTAAGGTGTGTAATGCTGACACTTAGATGTTTCTATGTATTGTTTTATGTGTCTTCTTAATTGTAATGATATGGAATAAATATAGCAAAAAGAATGTCAATTATCACTTTATATAATAAGAGTGTTGGAATTATTCGCATACAAATTAAACTTTAAAAGTAAAAAGGAGAGATGAATCATTTTTACTTTTTAATTTTTAAATGGATTTATTTTTAAATTCTCATTACAGTGCATGGAAATTAGTAATTAATAGAAGAAATCTGGATAAAGTTTTACTGTGAACTTATATTAACATTTCTAATGAAAACTAAAAATACTGTTTGAATCAAAGAAGGAACTGAGGATACAATATACACTCTGCATATATTACTTAACATTTTATCTCTCCTTTCCTCCAAATGAGAATCTGACCTAGGTACAATATAATAACCTGAAAAATTCCAAATTAGCAATTACAATAGCTAAGCTTCAGACTAAAATACAAGCTCTACCCACTTGCTGAAAAATTTGCCTTAAGCTGCCCTTATCATCTTTTACGGATAATCTTATTCAGAGCAAAGTGTAATTATAGTGAAGTCAGCTGGAACTGGGGGCCACACCTTCTGTTATTCACTCATCTGTTTTTACCTGGTTGTTTTGGTTTTGTTATTGTTGCTGATCAAAACCAACAGTAAGATGAATTCAGAAAATGACACTGTTAAAGCCAGCATCTTGAAGGAATTAATGTAAGCCTGAACCCATCCTTTAGAGTTGTAATCTAGCTGCCTCTAAGTCTCTGTATCTATAAAAGTAATAACTCATACCAGTTATGGCTGAGTTTCTGTGTCCCTTTGTGGGTTTCGGGATTTGAAGAGTATAAGAGAGTAAGATAGCTTATCATAAAATGTCTGACAGCGCATACATCAGAAGGGTTTACTGGATAAAGATGCAATCTCTGTCCGTCTGCTCAAGGCAGTTTATAACTTTCTTATTCTTTTGCAGATCACCTACAAAGCAGTCAGTTCCTTTGACCCAGAAATAGATTTATCCAATCAAAGCGGACGAGTCTCAAAGCTAGGAAATGAAACGCACTATCTCTTTTTTGGACTGTATCCTGGCACTACCTACTCTTTCACCATTAGAGCCAGCACAGCTAAAGGCTTTGGACCTCCAATCACAAATCAGTTCACCACTAAAATATCAGGTACTTGATTAAAGAATATTATTGTTTGCTTATGATAATGACATGGGTAATTCTTTTGTTGTTTGCTTCTTTTTTAGGATTTAACAAGCAGCAAATTGAAAAAGTAAAATAATACACGTTCGTCCCTGAAGATGTCAAAAAGTGACATATATTAACATATCTGAAAAACTTCCAAGTGCTTAAATATCAACTGGTCCTTTGAAATTCCTATTCACAACTGTAACTTACCACCCAAGAAACCCTATGAATTATGTGCCTGCAGTCAGTGCCAGCTGCTGTTGCAACATTTAGCATAGGGTTTTTTGGACATGAGGATAAGGGTTCCATTCAGAGCTTAGTCAGCCTTGACATGATTCTAAATTAGTACAGTAACGGTGCTGGAAAATCTCTTTAATGAGCCATGAACAATTGAGAGTAGAGCAGAAATACTATACGTCTAGCACTCGCTTAGAAAGTGTAGCTAACTGCCAGCCTGCGTATGTTCCTAGCAGGAGTGTGGACTGAAGTGGATATGAAACTGTATTAGACAAGAACATCAAGACTAGTGGTTTTCAGATAATAGCAGCATGACTGTCACTTCTGCAGGTTCACGAGCAATATTTTAAAGCCCTCCCAGAGGCAGAGGAACAATTCATTTCTCTAGCTGAAGGGCTGCAATACTATTACGTAGTCTAAAATGCTTATGCAATTGATGACAAAATGTTTTGCAAAGTTACAGTTGAAATCCCTTTGCTCTTGACTTCTCTACAGTCTTCTTAGGAATTAAACTGACAGATGAACTATGGCCCCTGGATTATATTTACAGAAAATTGCCTTATCTATTTGTAGTCAACTTTGCTTTTCAGAAAGGCTAAAGGAAATCATTTGGGTACAAAATCTTTCCCTTTTACTCTCACTCTGTGTACTTTTCTGCAGCACTCATTTTCTGTACTCACTGGAATGAAAAAAAGTAACAGGTGTTAATCAGAAATACAGCAATTTATTTTTTCTTATTATAGGAAAGGGCGGTTAATGTAAGGTGGAAATTATTGCCAGTACAGGTGTTTGTAGAGAGAAAAAAAGTTGTTAATTTTCAAGTTAGAAAATTATTCTTTATAGAAAGTCTAAACATAATTAATACTGTTCAGTAAAGATGGGGATAATTTCCCATCCCCTTTCCTATACTGTGCGGAAACTTTCTCTGTCAGAAATCAATTTCTGATGTAGCAAGACTTGATAAGGATGGCAGAATCAGCCCTTATTAGAATGAGGAAGGAAGGAGACTATTGACAGTGGATCAGAATCTGGGTATTTGGGAATAGAGCTGGATCTTAAATTGTTGTTCTTTTCTAAATTTGATATGTCACCAGCTAAAACTCATTAATGTGAACAGACATTGCAGGCATGCTTGGGAATGAGACTGCAAGCTCTCTTTTCCGCACCCCACTCTCATTACTTCGTCCTAGTTACTGTACTAACAGGCAAGGTTTATGACTCGTCCATGGGTAGTTAAAGCCAATCTCTTGATGAATTTAAAATAGAAGCAGAATGTGTACATTTCTTAGTATCACTGAAAAATCACAACTGAAATTTTATCTGTTGAATATGGTACCCTCTTTGCAGTGCTATTGGCCTGTGATCTCATTGTCTTACTATAGGGCTTTGAGGCTCTTGATGTGGCCAGTGTTCTCCATTTTGGGGAGATGTGAAACAAAAATGCTGAACATTTATGAGTGACAGATTTAACTATTTTTTTCAAACAGATGAGGTGGCAACAGTGCATGCTGACCAATTTCTGAACTGAGTCATTGCATTTTAATTTATCTGACTCTAAACTACATTTTCACCTGAATAAAATACTCTCAATTTCCTGTCTGAAATGTTTGAATAGTACTATTCTGTATTGTAAATAGTTGCCATAGAATCATAGAATGGTTTGGGTTGGAAGGGACTTTAAAGATCATCTAGTTCCAACCCCCCTGCCATGGGCAGGGACACCCTCCACTAGACCAGGCTGCCCAAAGCCCCATCCAACCTGGCCTTGAACACTTCCAGGGATGGGGCATCCACAACCTTTCTGGGCAACCTATTCCAGTGCCTCACCACCCTCACAGTGAAGAATTTCTTCCAAACATCTAATCTAAATCTATTCTCTTTTAGTTTAAAGCCATTATCCCTTGTCCTGTCACTCCATGCCCTTGTAAACAGTCCCTCTCCAGCTCTCCATGTTTCATTCTACAGTTGTGTGATTAACACTGATGGATGAAGTGATCTGTATGTAAATACATATTACCAAAAGCAGAGCTTGTAGAAGTGCATGCTATCAAAATTGATGGGCACTCTATTAGAAGACTGTGTTCTGTTGCATATAACTTCGTGAAAAGTCAGCTATGCAGGTTGAAATTTTGTATGCTGCCTTCCATACTAAGAAGAATCTCATCCATTTCAGGAACATGGCTGACATCATGAAAAATTCTGGTGACTGATACATTACTGAAGTGCTTTCAACAGGATTTAAATATTTAGCAAGAAAAGAGACATTACTGTGAGCCATCACTCTGAAAATCTGTCCAGATTTAAGCAATTTGCAAATGTTGCAGTTTGCACACAAATGGTGGAAACTTGACAAAATTGAGCAGCGAATGTCACCATAGATGCTGTGCTCACTAGATAGGTTTAAGTTCTCCAGGCTTTTAGAGCCTTAGCTGTGTTCACCAACTAAGTATGGCCCAACACAGATAGAGAGTCTCTAAGGGCCTTATCTTTTAGTGCATCTCAGCTTTCTGCTGCTGAAGACCAGGGTGTGCAGTTGCAAACACTGTGAACAGGAAGACTCTCCTGTTTTCTGCTTATTGATAAGCTCCTTCTTTACATGTGGGCAGTGTGGAGGAGGAAGAGTGTAAGAATAGATAATGTCCAGGTATCTGTGGAGAAGAGAAAAAGCAGCCAGGAGTAAAATGTGGAACTGGGAGAACCACAACTCCTGTCCTGGACAGGAAGACAATTTTGGTGGAGGGAGACTAAGATTAGTAAAGAGTGCAAGTAGGGATCTAGGAGTCATAAGTCAGGGAGATTACAAGACTTGTTTAAGATGTGGGCAGGAGACGGAGGGCAGGAAATTACACTTACAGTGTTCCAAAAATGTTCGGAGTTCATACATCTTTTTGGAGATGCAGTTACTCTGTATTTCCCTTATTTTCAGAATGGTCAACTTGAGCATGGGGCATTAAGTGAACAATTCTGAATATTCAAAACTGCAAAACTGAAATATGTGAAAACTGAGTCTTGCTCTTTAAAGAACTGTGTAATATTATGTCTTTAGGCTTCTCAAAGTGGGTACCCAAATTACTTAAAATGAATAGTCTAAATGTTTGTGCCTTATGTCCAGGACTGTAAACAGAATAAAACCCTTTCAGCTTACAAGGAGGTTTTTGAACATTTTTTTTTTTTATTTGTGAAACATTTTAAAACTGGTGAATATCAATGAAAAGCAATGAAGATGTTGTTAATGTTTTCACAGCAGACCGGAGAGTTGTGGACAAAAGTGTTAATGCAATTCTTACTTGGCTATATAGGGCAATATGGATAAAGGAGAGAGAAGTTCATATACCTTTCAAGTAGATGCAGCTACTACTGGGAGGGTGAAAAGGATTGGAAAGTAGAATTGAAGGAAAGACTCATGTTGTTGGAGCTTTTTAATTTGCTAGAGGATCCTAGAGGTTGATATTATCTGTATGTGGAGCATAATGTCTGTGGAGTGACTTCATCTGGATGGTACACAAAGTATCCAGGGGCTGGAAGATGAAGTTAAACAAGTTGAGATGCCAAATAGGTCTCCATGTTCAAGATAAAGTATAATTAGCCATTGAAGAACCTGTGAAAGAAAAGATCTTCTCCCACACCAAATGTATTTTCTTTTTCAAGCAGGAATTAGTTTAGGGAAGTTCACTGCCCTGCATTATTCCTGTGGTCAGAAAAGATCATTGTTATGACCACTTTTTGCTTTATAGCCTTTAAATCTGTTAATTGTGTATCATCATTAACAACTGAACAATAAGGATACAACAGACTGCTAAACAACCAATTAACAGAGCAGCCTTCCATCCAATAGAGTGATAAAAATGCGACTAGATGATAGCACTGAAAAAAGTAACAACAGAAAAAGACAATAACTGAGGCACCATTTGTTTTAATCACAACCGTAATTCCTTAATGAAGACACAGTTTGCAAAAGTGCTATTGAGTGTGCCTTCAAACTAAGATAAGCTCTCATGGCAATAATCCTGCTTTGTTATTGTAAATGATGTCTGTGGTGGACAATAGACCCAAGACAGTTGCAGCACTAGGTAGAATTCCTGGAATGACAAATTCTGAGTGTATCCTAATGCCACTGACATACTGAGAAAGCTGGGCTCAGTTTTAAAAACTACTGTCATTTCAGCATGCACATTTGCAGATGCTCTTCTTGAGATAACTTTTCATTTCCAAGTCATGGATTCTCAATACTTTCTGCAAACTTACTCCTATTAGTATCTGTTTGCTGGCTTGAAATTGGCAGTGAGCTGGGATTTCTTTGTTTGTTTTATTTTTTGCTGAAGTTATTTAACAGTTGTCTCGCACTTGTAACAGAAAGCATCTTAGACCTATAATACGATCTTTGTATTTGAAGAAGTCTTTAAAATTACCTATTCAAATAAAGATACAGCTCTTGAAAGAAGAAATACAGGAATAATGATTATTTTTGCCTCTTTTCTTATTCTAGCACCCTCTATGCCACCATATGAACTTGAAACACCTTTGAATCAAACTGACAGCACTGTGACAGTCTTGCTGAAACCTGCACAGAGCAGAGGCGCTCCTGTCAGGTACTGGGGAAACAATCTTTATAAAATTAAAACCAAATTGATTAATTTCTTGAACATGTTTTCTGGGGATTTTCTACACAGCAATCAGTCTCTAAATTCATGTCTGCATTAGTTCTAATTAAATTAAATAACTGAAGAAAATGAAAGTGCTTTGATGTTGAGTGTTCGTGTATTGTTTAAAGGATTTGATCCAGATGCAAGTGGCTTGTTCTTTGAAGATAAGGAACAAAGCCATAGTTCTGTTGTGTGGGTGGCTTCTTTAAGGTAATTGCTTACTGCAGTGTTATAAGTTCAAGGGCATATCAAATTTTTTATGCAGAACTACTGTCTTTAATATTCACTCTTGTTTACTTCACAGATTTAAGATAATCAACTCTTAGTAAGTTAGCCAATTTAGACAATATGTACTGTAACATTCATAAAGTATTTACATTTAATTGACCATGGTAGTAGAAATAGAAAACAAAATCAACCTGGAAAACCAGTATTTTCTTTAGTGTTATATAGTAGCCGTTAATGAATTTCCAGTTTGCAGAGGTTAATTTCACAGCCAGATACACAAGTACAGTGTAAGTCCTTCATTGATTAGAATACAAGATGCCTGCTTTTCAGTGAACAAAACAGAGGAATGGTTAGATTATTTTGAATGAGAACCAGTAATGAGCTCAATACTCTGAATAAATGAAAATACAGATGAGAGAAATACAAATTTTTCAGAGGTTTAGGATGTTTTTCCTTTTGGCTAATCAAGTATCAAAAAAAATGGTAAATTCTTTTCTTACTGTAGGAAGAGTTTCCCCCTATAATGAACAGCTATCAATTATTTTCATCATGATGCTATGTTTTTTGGTAATTTCTGTTTGTCTGGGAAAGACAGATCTAGTATACTTGTGTATGTGTGAATGAAAATAAATGCTCTTTGGGTTTCTTCAGAATATTCAATGTTTCATATAATTAGAGGGTTTTTTACTATATTGTATGTATGTAGATCTGCATTTAGGAAATGTTATCCTGTTGGTCATTCAGACAGCTTTTCAAAAAGAAAATGCAACACGTTGGGGAAGTCTGAACAAGCTGAGAAAAAAAACAACAGAAAGCAATTAAAGCAGATTTAATGAAACTGTTTGATTTAGCAGATTAGATTAGAAACAGAGTGATTTGATGTTTGTCTGTCTTTATCTCACAAAGCTATAGTGTAGTCCTTCTGAATTCAAGCAGCTGGATTAAAATAATACCGCTTGGAATCATTGTTGCTTAAACACAAACATATTAGACCATTAATAAAAAATTGGTTCCATTCCTTTTATCTGCATCATGAACTAAAGATGATTGACTCCTATAGCAGTAGTGACATGTCAGAAACTTCACTGACAATAGAAAGGATCTAGTTAGGAGATTAAAGTGTGCCAAATAAGGTGATGAGTGGTTAGGAAAATAGGAGGAGAGATTTAAAGTAACATGAAGCTATAAAACTGACAGATGAACACACAGCAGCAAACTTACCGAGGTCCTTTGCAACAAGTCTTAAAATAAAATGAATGCTGACAGCAAACTTGCAATGTAAATACTGAGCGAAGCAGAGTGTGAAAATTAAAGTAAGAATTTTAGCATTTTATTGTGCATTACACTCTCAAGCATACCATCATTGCATAGCTTGCAGAACACATTCTGCATACGGATTTTATCATCTCAGTCTGTATTCACTGGGTGTTAAAAGTTTAGCCATACTTCATTTATGCACACCACTAAGCAAGATGCCTTGTCTATTGATTCTGCTACAACTACTGGCTTGGTTAATGCAGATTTCTGAAACTGCACTAAACTTGCAGTGTAAATGATAGTTGTTGTTTTATTGATCGACACGTCAGCCGTGTCACATAAAATTCTTTAATTCCTGAGATGGATAAGGAGAGCACAAATTCTCCCATTCCGGTCAGCAAAGCTGATACCTGAGGTCATTCAGAATTGCAGCTTTTTTCTGTGATTAAATTCTTTTCTCTACTTAAATATGAAAAATCCTGCTATCTTCTACCTTATTTAGAATCCTCACACAACCACAACATAAAAGGAGAAAAAGGGCAATGCTGATTGTTTAAATGTTGACTCAAAAAGCAGACATTATAAAAATGTTCAGGAAGCTCTGTTTACAGTGATAAAGTAAACATTAATCATGAAGGCCAAATGGCATTCCAGGTTGGTTTAGAATTCTTAAGACTGGACATGATTAAAATGTATTTTGTCAGAGTTTTAATACAACAAATACTGCTTGCTTTGTCTTCAATTTCAGGTCCAGCATGTTTTATGGCTGTTGCTGTGTTTATTTCAAGGAGATTATTTTGGAATTTTGTATGTTTAAAGCAGTAATGCATTCAGTAATGATGAATGTATGCACTTCTTTAACAGCTGGCTAAGCTATTTTGATTTTTAGAGTGACTGTAATTTGCAAGGCTTTTTTTTTTATGTAAGATGATGGATCTGTGGTAATTGTGTAATATATGTCTTATTGTGGATATTCCCTTTTTTTCAAATATAAGTGTATGTAAGAGTCAGTAAAGTTTTAAAGAATTTGCATTAAAAGCATATTTGCATGAAAATGCAAATATTTTTTCTATGAGAGCTTTTCAGCATCTATTGAAGGACTCACTCTTACAAGGCAGTATCATTTGTACCTCTTACTTTTTCAGGGCAAGTTAGCCTAAATTTTAAAATACCCTGGGACCAAATTGTTCGCAGGTACATAGATTGGTCAGTGCCATTTACTAAGGAATGCTAATTTATTTCAAAGATCTAGTTCATACAGGGGAATGAAAAATATAATGCTCGGTGACTGCATGTATTTAGTGTTATTTATAAATCCATCTATGTTAGAAAGAGCTTTAGATTGTTTGCTGCATTCCATTATAAAAAGTTCTTGTGACCTTCTCTGGAAAAGTTTGCCTGCAAGCTTTTAGCTTCAGCAGGGAGAAGCAAGTTTTCTTTGTCGCATAGATTTCCATTCAGTCTTACCATGATAAAGGTTGAGTATTTCCACTTCTTTATCTCACTTACATAATCAGCAAAATACTGTCAGCATACCACCCTCCTCCTGCTATTCTGTGCCACATCCTCAAAAAGCCTTAACAGTAAACACCCCAAACATTGTGGCCCAGATAACACCGGAACCACCTGGCGATAGCAAGCACTCTGGGAGCAGCAGACTGGGGAAAGGAGCAAGAAAGGTAAGAAAGAGGGTAAGACCATCTAGGCTCTACTCTGCCTCCTGGTCTTTTTCTCATACTACATTACAGAGCTCAGCTCAGCTGGATTTGCCCCATTAAACCCTTCTCATCAGTTAATGGCCCATTCAACCACCCTTTTCTGCTCTTACAGACACCACAGACAGTTGGTACTTTCCTCTTCCAGCCTGAAGTGAGAGAACAGGAGGGCCAAGCCTGTCAGCTAGCAGCGCTCTGTGGATGCAATACTTGGCATTTAGGATGCCAGAGTACTTTCTTCGCTGAGTATGTGGGATCAGTCCTGAAACCCCTGGGGCTGCAAAGCTCAGACTGGGTGAGAGGGAGAGAGAGAATTGCAGCAATTGCCAAGTAGTATAATTTAAAAGTACCTTGAAAACACGAAGGAAACCACGCACAAATAAACTTTGAATTATATGAGTTGAAAGCTGAGAGTGTGCTAGAGTGAAGGCAGTCTACGTACTCTCAATTCATCCCCTTTATCATCAGTGTGCCCAGCAGCTCCTCCATGCAATTTGGGTGTTATTTAATAACTCTACTGGGAAAATAAAGCAAACATCTCTTTACTTGACGTGCTTAATTTTGAAACATACTTTTAATCTGAAAATGTAATGTATATTATATTTCAGCCTGAAAGACTATATTAAGTTGTTAAGTATTTTGAAGTGCAGCTGAAAACTACATGTTCTCTAAAGTGATAAGCACTCCTTTCTACTACTTCATTGGGTAAACACTTCTTGATGTGTTCAGATTGTCTAAATTCCACAGAGATTTGCCTTTCTTATTGGCCTAATCCAGACCTTTAAAGGCACCCTGTAAATACTAGGTTCATTGACAGAGGTGGAATTAAGGCCGTCTGCACACGGTCTCTGGGGTAGGAACAGCATGATTCAAAGGAAGATGCATGGTGTATAGAAACCTTTTGCAGGCCAAATCCAGGGAGTACTTCATTATGTACATGGCTTTTTCAACATTAGCCATTTGTTGAAATGCTAATGGCTTTTTCAACATTAGCCATTTCAACAGCACTCAAATTATGATTCTTAAATGAATGATAGAGGACACCTAATTCCTACCCACTACCTAGCAGCAGGAAGGAGTAAATTAAACTGAGGTGGTCACCTTTGAAACGCAAAGACTTGTACATAATGCAACAGTTCCCCACCGCATGCTGCACATGAAGCAGAGGTCACAATTGCCTCCCCATCCCTGCCACACATGTTGCAAGGTAGGAGGACGTGTCTTAGCGCCTCATCTCTTTCCTTCAGCATGACCGGTGCCAGGAGGGTCAGTCGTCTGCATGTCTGGCCATCCCCTCTGCTTTGTCACTATGTCTACTCACTTTCTCATAGGCTGGCAGCAGGAGTGTGCACTCCTTGTGCCATGTCAGTTACGGTGTGCAATACTGTTCAGACACTTCCATACAAAGAAATGGGATCATCTGAAGCCTGAGAGACCTTTTGCAGGACCCTCCAACCTGACGGACAGCCTTCCAGAGAAGCCACTACCTACCTTTATTCTTGAAACTTACTGTCTTCACAAAAACACTAACCGGGCAGCACATCAGCAGATGTTTCACTGGCAATCAAGAAATCTAAACAAAAGCTAGCAAGCTAGCCAGGCTGTTTGGAATCCTGTGGCAGAGATCATTGGAACTCAAAAAGCAGCAGGGCTTCATGCACTCTGAATACAAAAGTTTCAGGATATTTTCCATAACCCTGAAGAAACCACGGGGCACTCACATTGCTGTTGTGAGTCCGTGGAAGC